GGTGGGACGGACGTGGCCATGGACTTGTATCTGTACGCTGCTCTTCCCCGTCCTGGCCCTCATCCTCGCCTCCATCTTCAAGAGGCTGTGGGGAGCCGAGGGGGAGTGGCCCAGTTGGCCGGCAGCTGCCGAACTGGCCCGGGAGAGGGGCCCCGCGGACCAAGCAGCGGTGGGAGCGGGGCTGGAGGCCGGCAGGCAGCAGCTGCTGGTGGGGGATGTCAGGGCTGTCGAGGGGCAGAAGGAGGTGGCTGCATAGAAGCTGGAGAAGGCGGTGGAGGAGCCAGATGGCTGTATATATGTAAGAGCAATGGCATATTGAAAATGTAGAATCTGAGCACGACGTGAAGGGTATGCAATAAGGGCTGGATACTGGTTTAGCAGTAGCAGTCATATTTCTCCTTCTTAGTAGCTGGTTCAGCGTTGTGTTTTGACTTTCGGCCTGGGAACAGAGCTGATAACACCAATGTTTTTAGTTTTTGCAAAGTCATGTTTCCTCTAACCAAGGACTTTGTGAGCCTCATGCTCTGCCAGGGAGGAGGGGAAGCCATGAGGAAGCAGAGACAGGACACCTGACCCAAACTGACCAAAGAGTTATACCTGTGTTATTAAACTGTTCTTATCTCAGCCCATGGGAGTTGCATTCTTTTCGGTTCTCCTCTCTGTCCCGCTGGGAGTAGGGGGAGGTCAAGAAGGCGGGAAGTGAGTGAACGAGCTGCCTGACTGGTTTTAAATCACGACACTTGCCTTGCCTAGCCTTGCCTGACTTGGCCTGGACTGGCCTTGCTTTGACGTGCCTTACTTTCATTGCCTTGCCTTGTAATGCCTTGCCTTGTATTGCCTTGCTGTCCATTGCCTGGACTTGCCTGGCCTTGCCTTGTCTTTTCTGGCCTTGCCTGGCATTGCCTTGCCTTGCCTGGCCTTGCCTTGCTTTGCCATGCCTTGCATTGCCTTGCCTTGCCTGGCCTGGACTCCCCTAGCCTGGCCTTGCCTGGCCTTGCCTTGTCTTTCCTTGCCTCTCATTGCCTGGTCTTGCCTTGCATTATCTTGCCTGGCCTTTCCTGGCATGGCTTGGCCTGCCCTTGCTTTGCCTTGCATTGAATTGCCTTGCCGTACCTTGCATTGCCTTGACTGTCCTGGCCTAGCCTGGCCTTGCCCTGCTTGACGTGGCCTGTCCTGGCCTTGCAGGGCTTTCCTTGCCTTGCTTTGCTTTGACCTTCCTGGTCTGGCCTGGCCTTGCCTTGCCTTGCCTTGCCTTACCATGCCTGGCCTTGCCAGGCATTGCATTGCCTTGCCTTGCCTTGCCTTCTCTTGCCTCGCCTTGCCTTGCGTCTCCTCGCCATGCCTTTCCTTCCCTTGCCATGCCTTGCCTTGCCTTGCCTTTTCTTGCCTTCCCTTGAATTGACTTCCCTTGCCTTACCTTCCCTTGTCTTGCCATGCCTTGCTATGATTTTCCTTCCCTTGCCATTCCTTGTCTTGCTTTGCCTTGCTATGCCTTGCTTTGCTTTGTCTTGCCTGGCCTTCACTTGCCTTGTCTTGCCTGGCCTTCCCTTGCCTTGCCACGCCTTGCCGTGCCTTTAATTCCCTTGCCATGCCATGTCTTGCCTTCCCTTGTCTTACCTTGCCTTCCCTCGCCTTGCCATGTCTTGCAATGACTTTCCTTCCCTTGCCATGCCATGCCTTGCCTTGCCTTCACATTGCCTTGCCTTGCCTAGCCTCGCCATGCCTTTCCTTCCCTTGCTTTTTCTTGACTTGCCTCGCCTTGCCTCGATTTGCCTTGACTTGCCTAGCCTCGTTGCCTCGCCTTGCCTTGCCTCACTATGTCTTTATTTCTGTTGCCCTGCCTTGCCTCGCCTTGCCTCGACTCACCATGAATTTCCTTCCCTTGCCTTGCCATGCCTTGGCTTGCATTGCCTCGCCTCGCGTCGCCTCATGTCGCCTCACCTCGTGATGACTTTCCTTCCCTTGCCATGCTTTGCCTTGCCTTGCCTTCCATTGCCTCGCATCGCATCGCCTCGGGATGCCATTCCTTCCTTTGCCATGCCTGCCTTTCCTTGCCTTGACTTGTCTTGCCGTGTATTCCCTTGCCTTGCCATGCCTTGCCATGCCTTTCCTTCCCTTGCCATGCTTTTCCTTCCCTTGCCATGCCTTGCCTTGCCTCACCTTGCCTGGCCTTGCCTGGCTTTGCCTTGCCTTGCCTTGCCTGGCCTGGCCTGGCCTGTCATGGCCTTGCCTGTCCTTGCCCTGCCTTGCCTAACCTTGAGCTGCATTGCCTTGACTTGCCTTGTTACCTTCAGTTTCCTTGCCTTGTCTTGCCTTGCCAATTCTTGCCTTGCCTTGACTTGCCTTCCCTAGCCTTGCATTGCCTTCCCTTGATTTGCCTTCCTTTATCTTGCATTGCCTTGCCTTGCCTGGCCTTGCTTGACACAGATCTCTTGCTGTGTCATGTGCACTTGCCAGTTACTGAGGAAAGCATCCATGGGCTGGGAAAGGAAACAGCTCAGGAGGGAATTTTTAGTTAGTTGCTGATCTTCCTGGTAAATCCTGTAGGGCTCTAGCATCTTGTTCCATATTTTCCGTGGTCACTGGAATGGGTTTCATTGTTAAAAAAAGTATTTCATTTTGTACTTCCCTGTGTTCCAGGAGAAACAGCAACAAGGGCCTCCCCTTGTGCCACAGCTTGTGACACTGGGCAAGACGTGACAAGAAAAACAGCTGGGCTGGTACTTGTGGAGAAGCCTGTGGCCTGTAGAGCTTCATCAGGGACAAGGACAGGTTTCTGTGTAAGCACTGACTCAGTTCAGCCCAGATGTGCTGTAGTGAAGAGCAGCACCCCTCGCTGCCCTGTGCGGAGTCGGGGCTGGGGTGCGTGCTCCCCACCCCTTCTCTCCTGCCTCCTTTGTCTGCAGTGAAACAGAAACTGTGTTCTCTGAAGAAATTCTTTCCGGTGAGGGTGGTGAGACACTGGAATGTGTTTCCCAGAGAAATCCCCCATGCCTCTTGTGAAACTGTTTAGGATTTAGGGAATGACTGATCAACCTGAAAGAGCTCCTGGGATGAGCAGGGAGTATCCAACTTTCCTGATCTCTGTGCGCTGCTCCCACCTTTGCCAGGCAACCAGAGCTCCTGGTGCAGCCAGGGAGCAGCCAGCAGCCAACTACCCACCTCTTGCCACTGTGCCAACAAACAGAGTAGTGCTGAATTCTAGTTATAAATTCAGGGTGATGTTTGGTTGCTTAACTCAATTGTTAAGAATTTCTTAAATTGGTTTAAGTACAATTCTATATATGGACAGGTTTCTGCATCAACATAACTTGTTCAGCTGATTTCTATGATCTAATGTATAGCAGAATGTTTAACAACAAACTGAATAGGATATAAATTAGTGAAATTATGGGAGGATGTAAAATTCAACTTTAAAGCCCCAGTTGCTGTTGGTGACCATCCAAGCAGGGTATCCCACCAGAGATGTTCTCATGCCCAGTGTGTGGACTTCCCAGAGATAGGTTAATGGTTGGACTCAATGTTCTCAAAGGGCCATTTTCAAATTAATGGATTGATTTTAGGAAACAAAGATTTTTAGCCTTAAATCTTTGTATCATCAGGCTGTTTCCCATGGTGTTTCCCTGGAGCCCCAGGGAGCCCTGGAAGGAGCCCAGGGGGGCAGAGGCAGAGCCACCTTGGGCTGGGCCTCTGCTGCTGAGCTGGGACCGAGGGGAGACCTGCGAGACACAGGGAGCTTAAAGGCACTTGGCAGTGGAGGATGCTGAGGAGGAGGAACCTTCTGAAGGAGAAACCTTCCCTGCCCTGTCTGTGGTAAGGCACTGGGTGCAGGGCAATGCAGCTGCAGTTTCTCTCTGTGTAGATAAGGAGGAGGATGTGCTGCAGAGCAGGGCTTCCCCCCGCACCATGCAGGGGCAGGACAAGGCAGGTCCCTTGTCCCGGGGCTGGCTGCAGGGTGTGAATGTGGGTGTGCAGGCAGGGGTGCCCAGCGCTGCCCTTGCAGCAGGGTCCCTGCAGCCCAAAGGCTGTGTGCAGGGGCAGGGATTCTGCTGCCTGCCAGGGTCAGCACTCGGCCTGCCCGGGATCTCCTCATGGAGCTCGGGGGGAGCTGAGGGGAAGGGAACAGCCCCTGGCAGGGAAGGGAAGTGTTGGGTGGGTGACGCTGCTCCAATCTGCCGTCACTCTGAGCACTTCTTCAGAGGGTCCTTCTGAAAGACACTGAGGCATCATTTACCTGATAGGGAAGGATCCTGAGCTTTGATGGCTTTCCCTCTTGGAGGGCAGGTTGGGCAGTGGGAGCTGGGAATTTACTTCTCTGCTTTGGGGGAGGCACCGAGAGTCTTGTGAGGGCTTGTGTGAGCTGCTCCTGAGCCCCTGCACAGGCAGGGGTGTGCAGGGCAGAGCTGAGCACACAGCCCATGGCATGGGCTCTGGGAGCACTGAGAGGGAGCAGAGCTGGGCACAGAGCAGCAGCTCCTGGCAGGGACAGCTCCAGGCAGCAGAGATATGGATGGGCAGGGAGTGCGGGGAAAGTGCAGCCCAGCCCTGGGGAGGGTGCGTTCAGGCAGCTCTCTTGGGGTCTGGCACTGGAGGTGGCTGCTGGCCGTGCTCTGCTGCCCACAGCCCTTTGCTTCTCAGCATGAGAGCTCTGTGGACTGTCCTTTGAAACCGTTCTCCCCTGGTCTCAGCACAGGACAGATATTTCTTGGGCATTTAAGATCAGTGTGTGTGAAGGCATCTTAGAGGCAGTGCAAGTGTCAGCAGAGGGCAAATGGGAACGCAGTGATGGACACTGAAGCTCTCTAGGCTCTGTACTGAGCTGCAAGGAACTGAGGCTTTTTGCCTGATGCAATGCTCTTCTGATTGTATGTATGAAGAAAGCCCAGCAATATAATGCCATCACTGGAGATGACACTGAGCGTCTCCTGTCCTATAATGTGCTCAGTCGTGTGTAAACTGAACTTCTGTATCTGACATCCCTCCTGTCCTAACCTCTCACTGCCTTTTTCTCCTCTGACGGTGCCCCATGCCCAGAGGCAGCAGATGTCCAACGGCAGCTCCATCACCCAGTTCCTCCTCCTGCCATTCGCACACACGCGGGAGCTGCAGCTCTGCCACTTCTGGCTCTTCCTGGGCATCTCCCTGGCTGCGCTCCTGGGCAACGGCCTCATCATCACCAGCACAGCCTGCGACCAGCGCCTCCACACCCCCATGTACTTCTTCCTCCTCAACCTCTCCCTGCTGGACCTGGGCTGCATCTCCACCACTGTCCCCAAATCCATGGCGATTTCCCTCTGGGACACCAGGGCCATCTCCTACACAGGCTGTGCTGCACAGCTCTTTTTTGTTCTCTTTTTCATTTCAGCAGAGTATTTTCTCCTCACTGCCATGTCCTACGACCGCTACGTGGCCATCTGCAAGCCCCTGCACTATGGGACCCTCCTGGGCAGCAGAGCTTGTGTCCACATGGCAGCAGCTGCCTGGGGCAGTGGCTTTCTCACTGCTCTGCTGCACACAGCCAATACATTTTCACTGCCCCTGTGCCGAGGCAATGCTGTGGAGCAGTTCTTCTGTGAAATCCCCCAGATCCTCAAGCTCTCCTGCTCACACTCCTACCTCAGGGAAGTTGGGCTTCTTGTGGTTGGTGTCCTGATTGCTGTTGGCTGTTTTGTTTTCATTGTGGGGTCCTATGTTCAGATCTTCAGGGCTGTGCTGAGGATGCCCTCTGAGCAGGGACGCCACAAAGCCTTTTCCACGTGCCTCCCTCACCTGGCCGTGCTTTCCCTCTTTGTCAACACATCTGTCTTTGCCTACCTGAAGCCCCCCTCCATCTCCTCCCCATCCCTGGATCTGGTGGTGTCAGTGCTGTACTCGGTGGTGCCTCCAGCAGTGAACCCCCTCATCTACAGCCTGAGGAACCAGGAGCTCAAGGATGCTGTGCGGAAGCTGGTGAATGGATGGGTTTCAGCAACCATATACTGCTTCCTTTACCCTGCAAAGGGCTTCCAGTGTAGGTCATGACAGGCCATATGTGTCTTTCCTGCTTTGCATTTGTTTTCTTATTTCAATTTGTGATGGTGTTGTCTTCATAGAAATGTCAGTTTTCATCTCCTCCTAATTAAGTTGCCACTCGTGTTGTGTGACCCACAGACTTTGTGTCACTCTGGTCTCTGATTGTATTTAAGGGAAATAAATGGTCCTGCAGCAACTTCTTCTCTGTGGTATGTCCTCACATGTCAGGAATGAAGGGGAATGCAATCGGCTTTCTGCCTGCTCCTGCTCTAGGATGGCTGCTCTGTGCCTGGAGCAGGAAGAGCTCTTGAGGAGCCCAATGAATGGAGCTGTTATCCTGGTGTGGGGCGATGGGAAGGCATGGGGGGGCTGCAGAGCTCTCAGGGTGTCCTGGGCAGGAGAGCAGGGGACACAGGGGTCCCTGCAGGGAACTCCCCTGCAATGGCACAGGCTGGGGCTGCCTGGCTGAGAACAGCCCATGGGAAAGGTCTGGGTGGGCAGGAGCTGGACAGGAGGCAGCGTGTGCCCTGGCAGCAAGGGAGGACAGCAGCATCGGGGGCTGTATGAGCAGGAGCACAGCAGGAGAACAAGGGAAGGGATGCTCTGGAATCCTCCATCCAGGTTTCACATCCCCAGTTCAGGAGTGGGTTTATCAATGGGTGCTCAGGATAGGAACACGGTGCCTGTGGGGAGAGTCTGGGGGAGCTGGGCTTGTCCAGCCTGGAGAAGGGAAGGCTGATGGGGACCTGAGATCTTGGGAAGGGAAGGCTGTTGGGGACTGGCTGCCTGTAGCGGCAAGGAGGACATGGAGAATACAGAGCCAGGCTCCTCACCGTGGTGCCTGGTGGGAGGACAAAAGGCAGTGGGGGATAGTGACAGAGGAGAGGTTCAGGCAGGACAGAAGGAAACCTTGTTCCCATAGGTTCAGGCAAGTGCTGCATCAGGTCACCCAGAGAGGCTGTGCAGTCTCTGGCCTTGGGAATTTCCAGCTCAGCCGGAATCAAGCCTTGAACCACTTGCTCTGACCCTGCTCCTGGTGGGTTCAACTTGAGACCTCCTGGGGTCCCTTCCAACCCCTGTTCACTTCTGATCCTACAATGATGGGCTTATGAAGAGTCACAAAGATGCTCTAAGGGCTGGAGCACATCTCTGATGATGACAGCTGAGAGAGCTGGGGGTGTTCAGCCTGGAGAAGGCTCCAGGGAGACCTTACTAAGCCCATTCCTAAACAGGGCCTACAAGAAATCTGGAGAGGTTTTGTTTGCAAGGGCCTGTAGGGACAGGACAAGGAGGAACGGCTTTAACCTGACAGAGGGGAGAGTGAGATGAGATCTCAGGAAGAAGCTCTTTTTGTGTGAGGGTGGTAGGACACTGGCACAGGGTACCATCTCTGGCAGTGTGCAAGGCCAGGTTGGACACAGGGGCTTGGAGCAACCTGCTCTAATGGAAGGTGTCCTTGCCCGTTGCTGGGGGTTGGAACTGGATGAGCTTTAAGGCCCCTTCCAGCCCAATCCAGTCTGGAATTCCAGGATTCAGGAATCAATAGCATGTTGAGGAGAGGATGCCCTTGAAGGGAGTATTGAAAGGGGACTCTCAGGCTTTCCCAGAGCACACAGAGCATTTCCCAGTCTGGAATATAGGAAACATTGGACCGAGGCCATGCAGCCAAAAGGAGGCAGAACGGGGCTGCTGGGCTGCAGCTCAAGGCTGTCCTAGGCAGAAATGGCAAGGAAGCAGAGACCAACACAACCTCCTTGGGTAGGGGATGCCCTGCTGTGCAATGACAGCAGTGACTTCTGTGGTTTAAGCCAAGCCGGCAACTCAGAACCACTCAGCCACTTGCTCAATCCCCCCGCCCCGTCCTCCCGCTTCCGGAGGGATGGGGAGGAAAATGAAAAGAACGTAACTCCTATGGGTTGAGATAAGAACACTCCAGTAACTAAGGTGTAACACAAATCACTGCTGCTACCACCAGTAATAATAATGATAAAGGAAATAAAAAGGGAACAGAATACAACCGCTTACCGCCTGCCGATCGATAGCCTGACCGAGCAGTGATCTACCCCTTCCGTGTAACTGACCCCAGTTTATATAGTGGGTATGTAGTGCTGTGGTATGGAATACCACTTTGGCTAGTTTGGGTCAGGTGTCCTGTCTCTGGTTCCCCCTGGCTTCCCCTCCTCCCTGCCAAGCGTGAGACTCACAAAGTCCTTGGTCAGAGTAAACATTACTGAACAACATCTGAAAACACCGGTGTTATCAGCGCTGTTCCCAGGCTGAAAGTCAAAAAGCACAGCACTGCACCAGCTACTAAGAAGGAGAAAAATGCCAGTTACTGCTGAACCCAGGAGAGTGACAAAGCCCCAGTCCCTGCCCACAGGGTTCCTGGGGGGAGCAACTCAGGTCCCAGCAGGACCATGCCACCTCAGGCAGCAGAGAGCCTCTTCCCACATCCCTCCTTGCATGCAGCACCCACTGCAGTGTCCGAAAAGCCAGGGCAAGAGCCAGGCCTAGCACTCAACTTCCAGCAAGCCCACGGCAGTACGTGCCAGCATCATGGTCTGCCACCCGGCAGCACTGGGGAATTGGAGGATATCACGGAAGCACACAATGGTTTGGATTGGGAGGGACCTTAAAGCTCATCCAGCTCCAACCCCTGCCACTGCCAGAGACAACTTCCACTAGAGCAGCTTGCTCCAAGCTCCATTCAACCTGGCCTTGAGCACTGCCAGCCATGGGGCAGCCACAACTTCTCTGGGCACCCTGTGCCACTGTCCCAGCACCCTCACAGGGAACAACTTCTAAGATCTCATCGCAATCTCCCCTCTCTGTCACATTAAAATCGTTCCCCCTTGGCCCATCCCCACAGCCCTTGTTCTCCCCACAAGAAATGAGGGGAGATCCCAGGATCATCCCTCGGAAGCCGCAGCGCTCCGCTGCCGGCTCAGCCAGCCCAACTCACACACCGAGTCCAAAGCAGCCACTCTGGGGAAGTCTCTTGAGGTGTTCTGGCAACTCCTACAGCACCCCAAGATCGCCATCGCCACCCACCTCGTTCCACGCTTCTGTGTCCACAGGCGGCACCGGCTCCGAGACACCAAGACGGGAACCACCAGAGGAGCTGCTCTTGCCTCCTCCACCGGTAGCTTGTGTTCCGTGGGGCAGCTGTCGTCTCCCGGTGCCTCTGCTGGAGGGTTCTGTGAGGTTCTGTGACCTCACACACCTGAACACGGGGAGTTCCAGAATCAGCCACCCCCGTGGTCTCCATGTCCCCAAGGTCATTGTGATGCATGAGCTCTGACTGGGTCCATAGGGTGCTCTGGAGGTGCTGCAGGCATTCTCTGGGATTCTCTAGGGGTATCCCCAGGATGCCCTGGGAGTGCACAGAGACACAGGGCCGTGGAGCAAGCTGCTCTAGTGGAAGGTGTCCCTGCCCGTGCCTTTGGGGCTTGGAGCTGGGTGAGCTTTAAGGTCCCTTCCAGCCCACTCTGGGATTCCATGATTCTCTGCTGTGCCAATGTCGGTCCCTCTCCACTCCTCGGAGGTGGCCGTGACGCCCTGTTCCATGGCCCACGTTGAGCTGTGACCCCTCGCATGCTCCACCTCCGGACCAAAGGCACTGAGGAAGAGCAGCCCGTGAGGGACCTCCCCGAGCCGGCTGGGCAGAGCCTGGTCCCCCCGCAGCGACTCCCGGAGCACCCCTGGGTGCCCAGTGGCCATGGGCACGATGCTGCCGCCATCCCAAAGCCGTGGCGGTCGCTGTGGATTTGCCCATTGTGACGGGGCCCCCACGGTGAGCGTGGGCTCTTTAAGGAGGGAGAGCCCTGCAGTAACCAGTGCAGAGGAGAGCCCTCCCCTCCCTCGGGGCTTCATGTAACCAAAAACGGGGATGGGGAAGGTGCAGGGGGGGGGTGTCATTAAGTGCCTGTTGATGAGCTGTCTGTGGGGGAGGGGGGGGATGGGCCTCACCTCCCCCCCAGCACCCCAAAACGAGGGGGGTGGGGGAGGGTCCCCAATGGACACAACCTCCCATCCCCCACCCGGGGGTTTCAGGGGGTGGCACCTCCCCCCCTCTTTATACCCGGGATGGGAGAGGGGAGGATAAAGGGGGGGATGGGGGGGGGGGCGTCTCTCTGAAGCCTTATTGACACCGATGTAAATAGCGCGGGGGGGAGGGGTCACCTTAAGAATGTATAAAAAGGAAACTTAACCAATAAATAAAGATTTCACAGGAAATCGAGGCCCCCTCTCCCCCCCCCGTGTTTCGGCCTTTCCCCATCCCCGTTCCGGGATGCTCTCCGCACTTCCGGGTTGGATGCCGCCGTTGCGCAGGCAACTTCCCCCTCTCCACCCCCAGCCTCGATCTGGTGAGCGTTTCCCAGGCAACAGCCAATCAGCTCTGAGCTCCCCAACTCGTGTCCCCGTTTATCCCCCTCCCGGCTGCCCCCCATGGGGCTGAATATGGGGCCTTTCCTCACCCCTCCCCCCCCCTTTGTCCCCTCTTCCCCTCCCCCACCGCATGTCCATCTTCTCCCCTCCCCCCCTTATACCCCCCAGTCCCCCTCCCCCTTTTTCCCACCCCCATTCCCCACATTCCTGCCATTTCTCCCCCTCTCCCTCCATCCCTCCCCATTTCTCATCCCACCATCATTACCCCCCCCTTATTTACATGCAATTAGCGTAGGACCTGCTTTATCCACACGCACTTCATGTAGGGCTGACCTTATTTACACGTTACTTCCTTATTTACATGTTATTAATGTGG